CTGCTTGTCATCTGCTGTAATGGACAATGACACCACTGCCTGAAGGAAAACACTAATGTTTTTACTTCCTTTATTTCTTGTTATTGTTTCCCTTCATCAGCTTTCACCCCACTTCACCGTATTCCTCACATCTGGGAGCAAACTCCTGAAGTTAACTTTGCAAGTGGTACATGTCATAAGAAGACTGAATTCCCTCTCTTTGGAATTAAAATGACAAAAGCAAAATTTCAAGTCCATTTATCACAGATGAAAACCTGTTCTAGTTCTTTTGCTTAAAGTATAGTGGACTGAAGTTTCATAAAAAAGTGACCAGGAAGGATTAAGCACTCTAGACGAAAAATTGCTGTGAGCCCTGATGCTGTTGAAATCTAAGAAAATAACTCACTAACTGGATTTAAGAAAATACATCACAAAACGTAGGAAATCAAAACATAAACACAGTACGAATCATCTGTGATGCGTCTTAGGATACAAAATCCAGTGTAGCTCTAGAAAGACACAGCCCTGAAAGGAGAAAACGCCAGAGCTTCAGGAGGCACAATGAACACCTCTCACTGTATTTGCTGCATAAAGGAAGTGAGACTTCCAAACTTTAACTGCACTGACTCTAAGGAATGAAGAAGCCCATACCTGTTTCATACACAGGCACACAGGCCATCTTCAGATATCTGAGCAAGTAATTTGTGTTTTGAGGAACAGTGTCTGTTGAAATCACAATATGGTGAGCACTCACACACACTTCCAAATTACTCAAAGGACAAACAGAAAGATGAAAACCAGGGAGAAAATAATGGAAAACAGTTCTGTTCACTGACAGATTAAGTGACTCATCCCTCATTTTGAAGAGCAACTGATCCAGTGGTGCTGGGGAATCTCCTTTGCCTGCAGGCCAATAACAAGTGGCTGCCTTCTCTGGCAATGTGAACACACTAAATAAGTCCAGAGTGATGACAAAGTTTCTGTGTGATTCAGAGAGCAGAAGACACAAAGCTACATTCAACAATTCAAAATAAACATTTAAAGAAAGGAAACCCAACTCAAATTGCCCTCCACAGTACAGACACGCTTTTCCCAGCGGAAGTCAAACAGCTCTGTGCTTCTAAGTGAGGTGAAAATTCTAATGCATCACTAAATAAAAATCAATTTTATTCTAGCCCCAAAAGTAAAATCCATTTTGCTATGATAACGTGATTATCATATTATTAAAAATATTCTAATTTTAATTTATATGAGCTCTGGATTTTCTGAGAATCCAGCCATGGTGGACGTGATCTGATCCTGACACACTGGTTTTTGCCTTTCTCATACAGATCAATATTTGATCTCATAAAGATAAGCACTCCAAAATCCAGCACTAATTTACCATCAATTAATTCCAATAGAAACAAAACATGAAGGCAGGGACACAGACCAAAGGATGCTGGTGAAGAGCAGGAGCTCTCCCATTGCAAACTCTCCCCCAGGGTTGTGGATTCAAGCACTGCAGCTCCCAGGAGTTCTGACACTGCTGAAATGCAGCCACCCCCTCCCACTGCAGGCAGCACACATGTGGACTTAATAAATCTGGTTCTTCAGCATCTGCTGCAATTCCTGCTGTAGCTCATGCTCATCTTTACCAAAATACTCATCCTCTCCTTCTGCAATAAGCACTGGGTATATTTTGAATATTGTTTTCTCTCATGCTGCTCACAGAAAGATTTAACAGTAAGAATTGTACCCCTGATCCTAAACGACCATAATTTTTCATGGATTTTCTTAAAGCACACACAACAGAAGGATTTTCAAACTTTCAAGGAGTTCATATTGTTTAATATTGCTCTATTTAATAAAACCTGGTGACTCTGTAATTTAGGACAGTATGGAGAAATGTTACAAAAGTGACTAAAATATTCTATTCAATCAGCTTCACCCAAAGTACCAGAGGCAAGAGAAGTAATAGCTCTAGATGCTCAGAGAACATGCATGATGAGTTAGTAGCTGGCATAATGCATTTGAAAAAGACTTAAAAAACATAGTTCTGGCACTTGCTTATCACTTCCTATCACAAGTATATTAACAGCCAACCTTTATCATCTGTACCAATTTCATGCTTGCCTGGCTCTTGATTATAAGATTTAACCACATTTCTTACCAGAACCTATGCTTCAGATTCTTAATACAAATAATTACTTGGGAATTGCTTGAGTACTGTTATAAATTCTGTTACATTGTTATAATTTTATTTAAAGGCAGGTATAAAAATCAAGTGTTTCTTAGCTCTCAATTTAGGATTAAGTCAAATCAAAGATAATAAAAATAAAAAATTATTGAACAATCAATATTCATGGCTGTTAGATATGATCTAAATAATATTTTCAGAAAAGAAAGCTACTTTATATACCCTTATGAAATGTCTAAAATGTCCTGGCACCTATTTAGCTAAATCCATATATTCATGTAAGACTTGAAAACATTGCAAATTTCTTTATCCCTTAGAGTTTGAAACAAAGTGCCATACTTTAGGAAATTATGGATTTTAGAAGTCCAGGTAATACAGAAATATACTTCCTTTAACTGTGCATACTGTATTTCTTCATTGTAAGAAAGATCATTCACATCTCCTGACTGTGAAATTTTCCAATGAGATCTGTACTTCTTCAAAGAAGGTGGAAAGAGAAAAAGTCACAGACTTCTCAATTTGTGTGGTGACTAAAAGTCTTCAAGGCACTGAGCACAGCAACACAGATGCCACACTCTCTAAAAGACAGTTTTGAATCTGTTACTACTCATACTGCATTTTTATTCTTAGAGAAAAGATCACTGAACCAGTAGCTGCAATAAAACCTTCCAGTAGAAAAAGAATGAAATTAAATAGGGTGGGGGTTTTTAACAATGCATATCATGGTCTGAAGCACTACAGTTTAAAGAATATTCTGCTTATTTTTTCACTATAACTTCTATTTATCTTTATCTTATCCTAGAACTTTTTTTGTTCTAGGATATACAATATCAGTATCTTGGTAGATCAAGCATTAATTGCAGAGCTAATCATACATTTTGTGCTTTATTATGTATATTTTTAAACAAATTCCTTACACAATAATTCTTTTAAAACAGTTCATTTTGATACAACAGGACAGTTCTAAAAATGCCTGGTTTGATGCTTCTGATTCAAGCTATAAAATATCCATTTCATCTTTCAGTCTGGAACACAAAACCTATAAAGGAACAGTTTTAAACTGTACTTTTGCCTGGTTGTTGAATACCTGTTATTGTCAAACAGGTCTATTTGCTGCTCTGGCCAGGCAGGGTGAACAGCATTTTGCCACAACCTCAGAAATAGAAATGTAATACTGGATGGGAGAAATGCAAAGGCAGGCTTATCAAAGCATGTTGAAATATGTTTTGTTATCAAGCACATTCAAATTGTCTTTAAACACAATTATTTTCTCCATCAACAATCTTTGTAAATATGGCCTGGGTTATTATTACTGTTACCACCATGATTTGCCACAGTCACAATACACACATTCCCATTCAGTAAACAAAACAAACCCCACAATCAAATCCAAACTCACAAAAGACAAGAAACAAACATACACTTATTAAAATTATTCTTTCAGGCTACAAACCATTGACATCCTACCTGTGTATTTACCCAGAACAAACTGCATGAGACAGACCATCACACTGGGAGAGACAATTCCATGTACCCATGCAGATGGCTGCACCACCCAAGAGCCTTTAGTTCACCTTTTCTAAGGCTGCATCAGGGCACAAAGCACCAGGACACTGCTCTTAGTTTACCTCTGCTGCTTGTGACAGGATCCCTCTGGTCTGTTGTACTTGGACAGACTTTGCTTTCTTCTATAGGAGTTTGTAATCTAAATGTCTGGATAATCATCATAAGTTTTAGAGCTTGCTGTCTCCCCATGAAAAAAAAGAGAACAAAACCCCAAAACACAAGGAAAAAAAAAACCAACAAAAAAACCCAAAAAAAAAAACCCAAACACCCATAACACCTTTAGGCAACTGACCTTTAGGCAATCCTCTGTTTGTGGTGAAAGAGGAGAAACAAGATATTTTATATCACCTACTAAACTCCTCCCCATTAGCCAATGCCTGGGTACAGAAAACTTCAGGTTCTGTTCATTTCTGTGCCCTTTTTGGCAACAGCAATAAAGAGAATTTGGACCATTCACAGTATTTAAGAGTCTGATTCTTTAGGTACACCTCAGAGCACCGTGATTAAAGTCAACAGAGAAGCCATAGTGTTAACTTGTGAAGTAAAGTCATGGCCTAAAAATACAGAAAAATGCAGGTCTGATGGACAGACCTGTCTGTCACTGTTCACATTTTGTGTACACTTCATGGTTATTGAGAAATATTTTCACAGCAAGATTTCAAAGCACTGTAACTAATGTATGTATATTCAAGTTTGTGACATTTTATAAGACAGCTGAACTTTTTAGAAGTCTTTCAGGGGAGTTTTGTTCACATTCTAGAATAGCTGTTCATTTGCAGTTGAAGCCCATTCCTGCATTGCTGCCATAACCTATCTCAGGCATCAGCTACTGCCTTTCACAATCAATCTCTGACACATGAAAGCATTAGTAGTGATGTGCTGCACTTTATTAAAAATAACAAGCTATTGAACAGAGCCATCATTTCAAATAATTCCATAGAAGTGTTTATAGAAAAACCACACATACGAATTAGAGTTTAGCTGGCTTTTCTTAATTACTGTAATATATGGTACAAACCCAGCTAATTTCATGAGGTGTGAGGACTGTACCACTGAATATATATACATAATATATATATAATACATATAATATATATAATACAAGATTCCAGCAGCTGCCTTTAATTGGACTGGACCCTCCACTGGTGCAAATCAGGGAACACAGTTTGAAGGCCTCCTTTCAGGCAGTTCTCAAGATTCAGAAGCTGGTTAAGATACTGGTTTGATGGTAAAGAGTCATCAGGACCTCAGCCAGAAGACAAAAAAAGCAATTTACCTGAAGAAGGTGACAAAGAACTGCACCAGATCCATGATGGTATTGTGCTGTGAGAAGGCAATCTGCAAATAAAACAGAAGTAAATTACAACATTTTCAGACTCAACAGCTCTTTTTAGGCGAGGGCTTTATGGCTCCATGGATGATTACTTTCAAGTGTAATTTCAGTCTAGTCTGCACACACCTGCACTTATGATAAAGTGAGATGAGCAACTGATTCCCATACCCTTGCTGGTATCAAAAACAAACAATGGAATATAATACTTTTACTGAAGTAAACTTAATATAAATATCCATTTACTATGAACGATAAAAATAATATGAAAAATATTAGGAATCATATTGTTATAAATTGTGTTGTTTAATAGTCTACTGTTTTGACCAACACCATCTTGCATGTTAATAGCACCACTGAAACAAGGTTTTAGAGAAGACAAACAACACATAGAGCTTAAAATTAATGCATTTAAAATATTTTAATTGTATAATATTAAAATTAATGCATATGTTAATTTAATTTTTATAAAAGATAAATCTGGTGCATAATAAAACAGTTTCAAAGCAAATTACTTTAAAGACAAAGTAATAAATATTCTTTTGGGCTACATTTTTACAGCCTCACCAGAACATGCATTAGTTCAGCTCCTTGCTGTAATTTTTGTGAATATTTAAGTATTATCTCTAAGACAGCATAGAGACATTCACACTTACACGCAATACAGGCTATAATTATTTCTGTAAGTAATTTTTGCTAATGTTAAGAACAGTATTTAATATTTATATCTACAAATATCCATGAGTCCCTGTCTTGCTCAGTTTTTCAGTCTATAATTATCGAACTATAGATACAGAGAATATTCTACTTTGAATTGTACAAAGTGTTTATCTAAGTATATTTACACTCTTTTCCAATAATTGTTGGGTTTAGAAATCCTGGTGCATCTACGATCTGATCTTGACTAGTAATTACACCAAATTACTCTGAATCCCTTTCATAGCTTACTTGTGAACTTTTGAAATGATAATTCATGATACTCTAGAATTTACTTTTTAATTTTTTTTTTTTTCATTTTAGGCCAATAATGTTTTTTACAAGTACCATACTTCGGGTGATTAACTAGAACAAGGAGAGAAAAACATGCCAGTTTTGGTAGAGTTCACATTTTTGTGACCTGTTGAAATATTCCTTGTTGAAGGAGCATTTAGATTTTGCATTAGTACAAGTATTTTCATTCAAGGTGTCAGAATTACTTCACGGCCTCTGTGAGTCTGGAAAGAATTCCAGTCTGCAATCAAACCCTGAAATCTGATCACAATCATACCAGGAAAGTTTCACCTTAACCTTTTTTTAAGAAACTATAGCACCTCTATTTCTCTTTTCCAACACACAACAAAAATGAAGCAAGCAGATTTACAACATTTCAATGATTTTATATCATTATCAATAGTTAAATGATATGCATAGTCCAAAGCTCAGGGATATAAAGTTTTTGCACAAGAATGGACACAAAAAGAATGATTTCACATTTTCCAACTTCTATTAATCTAATAATCTACTCAAGTGCAAAGTTCTACTGCTGATGTCCATTTCCAAATTTATGGAAGAATTTCTGCCTGTGACACTGGCTTGGTTGGTTGTATGGGATTTTCCTAAATGTACTCATACTTAAAAGCAGAAACAGTTAGATAGAAAGTTTAATCCCAAAAATAATTTCCTATTTTAATCAAACTTCTTCTAATAATTACATTAGAGCTCATGTTTAAAAGATTAATTACAATATTTTCTGAACAGTATCATGCATCTTTGACTAATTTCAACACAGAATATTAACAAAAAGAATACATATTTTAATTATAAGGAGACCACAAAGATGCAAGCATATGTCATGAACCTAGGACTGATACAAAGAACCATAATACAATTAAAAAGATTTATTTCCTTTAGGGTTTTATATACATATGAATGCAGTTGTCTCTTTGCTTGTGCCTGTACAGATAAGGGACAAGAAAAGTTCTTTGAACCCAAGGCTTTCACTTTGGACTTAAAGATACCGAAGACAAATATCTCTTTTGTTAATTTGTATCATAACTTAGAAGTTTTCAGTTTCTCCAAAACATCTAAAAAGCTTGTGGTTCCCACAAACATTATCTCTATCTTCCCTTATAAATAAGGAAGATAAATATCCTTTCAATCATTTCCTATGGAATAGAACCAAGTGCTGTGTAGAACATAATTTTTTATAGTAAAGGATAACCTTGATGAGTTATTGCTATTATTATCATTGCTGCTATTGTTGTTGTGAATTGCAATTGTATTCCATCAGATCAAAGTAACACCAATATACTACAGAGTAAATGTAGAAATCTGCAACAGAATGAAAAGATTCTAAAGTCAAATGTGGGGTTTACAAATATATATACATATAAATATACATGTATACATGTGATTCAGCTCAACATCTTAAATGATAGGAAATACACTTTACACTGAATAACTATGGATGGAATAGGTCTGTTGAAAGAGGAACAACTTCTGAACAAAGATTTTTCCAGCCTTCAGAAGTTAATGCCTGCAGGAATGGATTCATTTTTTCCCATTGCTCCAGTTCATCTTTACCTTGACTATCACATCCTGCAGCAATAGAGTCCTAGAGAACAATAGGTCAAGATCTGTTCCATGACAAAAAATGAGACAATCTTCAAAGTTTAACTCAGGGATAACTTTCATATGGAAATAGCAAGTCTGCCCTTAGAACTATGTATTTTAGTTTAAAGATATAGGTGTCATGAAGCCATCTCCACAATTCTAACACCACCAATTGTGCAAAAGGAAAAGGAAAACTAGGCACAAAATCCAAATTGCATTTTTGAAGAAAACAGGAACCCAATCCATAAAATGTTTCATATATTCAAATAATGTACACAAAAGCAATTATAATCTGTGCTCCATTTCATGACATTACCCACTAAAGGAAACTCCTATCTGCTCAGGCTCTCAAACCATGAACAAATACTTCCGTTAACACAATTTCTCCATCTTCCACTGTTAACAAATTAAAAAAGAACAAATAAGAGAAAGTAAAATAAATACATGGCAAAACTCTGATAGAAGGTCTAATTATTAAACCTTGAAACATAATGCAATAAGGTCAGACATAACCCAAACTAAACTGCCTGGACTGTGTTGATTATGCAGACTTAAATCCTGCAGAATTATTACTTCCTTCAGTATCATCAAAACCATAATTTAATTTCTTCCTGGATAAAACTATTATACCCTCCTACACTGGTGCTAGGTATGTACTGAAGCAGAAGAAATGGATACTGACTGAACATAAAGGCTGACATTTTGGTGTCCAACATCTTTCATACTTTCTTGAGGGACACTTTCTTACTGAGACAACTTCAGACAAAAAATATGAAATCAGCTGAGGAAAATATTTGTGTATATACAAAAATGGGGTTTTGTGTATACACAACATTTTTTTAAATAAGGAAAATGTAGAAGATCAAACACTGCGATAATATGGAATGAGGATGCAAGAAAACTTAAACACATAAATTCTTACATTTACATTTTATTGTACAAAGTGAAGTTTAGATATCTACTCTGCAGAAACATGACTGCAGAGACCCAAGTATAAACTGTTTTAAAGACATTACTATGTATTACATAATCATTTTGGGGCAGGGAATGGTACCTATGGATATCTTCAAATTCAGTGAATACATGACTACTGAATGTAGTTACAAATGAAAGGATACTCTGATTTATTCAGTTACATATAAATACAATTATAAGGACAATTATATACTGGGATATTTTTAGAGAGAGTAAAAATGGTTCTGACTCTTCCTTCCCATTGGACTTCAGCTATGAAGAGTGGCCTGCAAAAGTGAGAGATGGATAGTAGGAAATTGTCCATTTCCCAACAGAAATATTTAACAGGCAAAGCACAAAATATCTTTTCCTTTCCCTTGGAAAACAGAAATTCCAAGACAACACAGTAAGGAAAGGACAATATCACCAACAAATTACATCTAAATAATTATGTCTAAATAAGAGAATCATTAAACTCTTGCTGGCTAGAAGTGCCACACATTTATTCCATATGAAAATGTATCTGAAATGTATTTGAAATGTATCTGAATTTTCCCATGTGGAGTATACTGATCTTGTCCCATGTGTGAACCTCAGCTAAATTAGTCAGCTAGCTTACAATAATCAGAGATTTTTGAGAGAGATAGGAAGGCACTTCATAGGTGAGTGACCCTAAAATAGATGTGGAACTCTAATAAATTGGAAGGAATTGCCCTATGGAGCTGCCATTTCTCTCCACTAACAACACTGGGATTCTGTAATTAGTTTAGATTATAGACCTAATGTCAAACTTAGAATACAAATAATTTTAGGTGAGATAAATTTCTCCCATGGTTTGTAAGTACTCACTGGGTATTTCTGTAAAACAGTGTAATGATCAAATAGGCAAAATAAATGTCTGTTGCTGGGATTAAAAGATCTGAGAAGCAATATGAAGCTAAGTGGTTGTTGCAAAATCCTACTTCCTTCTGCTGTGTTAATGCCTGTAAAGAATTCAGTCTGATGTTGACAAACAGTCCTCCCAGATGATAAGATTTAGTGATAATGAAACTTTCATACTGATAACTTAAACAGAAAATGAAAGATAACAAAGAAATTCAGACTTCACATCAAGATTTGATAAACAGCTTCCTCAGATTATCTCTGCATGCTGCAGCCCTGTCTCTCATGCTGGCACACATTACATTATCAAAATGTACTACCCTTCATTTCTCAAAAAATGTAATAATTACAGGATATTATTTCCACTATTCAGAGTCATAAGAGGCTGAAAGACAATCTAGTTTTGTATTCAAGTAAGATGAAAGACACTCTTAAATAAGGTTATAACAGCTGAACTTTTTTCCTACCTAATAGGCACTTTATCTATTAAATTCAATATGCATATTCCACTTCTTTATTCAATTCTGGGCTTGTGTACACATATGAAGAAACATATACCACACAGAAAAACCCAATATTA